GGGGAGTTCGCAGCCCCCGTGCGTCCCCTCGGTGGACTGCGGTTAGGAACGCCGAGTTAAGATGATGAACGTGCGGGAGGGACACAGTCGTGCGACACACTTGGGGCTTTGAAGGAGGTCACGGCCCATCTGTTCCCTGAGGAAACTGAAACCAGTGATCTGTGGTGTCAGGGATTCTGGTAATGGCTGGAAAAGGAAACCACGTTAAGCAGTTAAAGGATTGAGTCTGTAGTTTAGAGAACAAGACGTAGGACACAGCTATGGTGTGGTTCCCGGTTAACATCTTAGCTCCCGATGGAGATGGCGCACCCAGGGCCTTGCCCCCCAGGGGCCTGGAGCACCAGGCCCAGCACCCCTCGCCCATCCCCCTAAACCTAAGGGTGCCACGTTGAGTGAAGTGGAGCCCGAGCACCAGGAGGAGGAGGAGGGAAGAGCTCCAGGTGGAACCAGAAGAACAAGGAGCATGCGTGGGGAGGCCGGGTGGCGGGCAGAGGCCAGGCTTGCCGTGAGAGAAGGCACGACGCCCCTCTCCTGTCCAGGCCTCCGTGTTCTCTCTGCATAGTGTGTACAGTGTCGGTAGTGGCTTGGTCACGTGGGTTTGTTACCAGTGCTGAGCAAGGGCGCACATGTAGCGTGAGGAACATGCCTGGCACATGCTTTGTTCTTAGCACCGTCATCGTGGTTGAGGCGATGTCGCTGCGTTTTTTTACCTGGCTAAAAGAGCCTGGGCTGTAGGCTTCCTCTGCACTTGGCATTGTTCTCTGAGCTTTGCGTGTATCGAAGACTTTAATCTCTCAACCCTCCAGAGGGGTGTCGTGTTTTGGTCCCACCACACGCCTAGAGAATCTGAGGGGCACACAGCTGGGCCAGTTTGCTCAAGGTGACGGAGGCTGTCGGGAGGTGGGGTGAAGCCAGGATTTAAACCCAGGGGTCTGAGAGCAGGGCCCGCACTCTTGGTAACCAGCCTGCACCGGCTCTAATGTGGCTCCTGTCACCAGCAGAGGATGCTGTGTGATCCCAGCCCTAGCAGCACAGGACAGGGTGAAGGAAGGGATGCCTGCCTCTGCATTAGGAGAAGCAGAAATATGGGGGTCAGGGCTGGGAACTGGTCCTCACTCCACAAAGTTGGCAAGGAAGCTGCCCTGTCGGCCACCGCTCACAGGCTCAGCGCTTATTTCTCAGGGGTCGGGGGTGTCGTGAGAGCTTTGCAGGGTCAGCACACAGGACCACAAAAGGCCTAGAGTGGAAGGATTGGCGTGGTCCTCCACTGGGAAGCCCCTGCCTCCTTCAGCTACCCAGTGCAGTGCTCATCCCCATCAAAGACTACGGAGAATGAGCTTCTGAGTCTGGGCCTCTTTCCAGAAACAGATGAAGTAAGATCACCCTCCAGTCCCTGTCTTCTTGCTCTGATACAGAGCAGCCTTTCTGGGGGCAGGCGCTGTCTGGTTTTCCACTTAATCCTTCCTACTGTGCCTAGGGTCTGGCCTAAGGTGGCCTCTCCATAGCTGCCTAGTGGATGGACGGATGATGGTTGGATGGATAGATGATGGATGGTTGGATAGATGGGTGGGTGGATAGATAGGTGGGTGAATGGACACGCAGATGGATGG